GAAATTTCTAGAAACCAACTTGAAGAAGCAAGGAATGCTTCCTCTTACTTTTGCTAATCCCGCTGATTACGACAAGATTGATTCTGCTGACAAGATCTCAATTGTTGGATTAAAGGATTTTGCTCCTGGAAAATCACTCAAAGCAATTATTAAAAAGGCGAATGGAACACAGGTAAGCATCAGTATTCCATCGTTGTAGCTGTCATCAGTTATTAATTTTAGATCGAAATCTCTTTGAATCATAGCTTCAATGAGCAACAAATCGAATGGTTCAAAGCTGGGTCCGCCCTAAATCGTATGAAAGAGGTGCTAAGTCGCAAGTAGTGCTTTTGATAGTTTTGCAGTTTTATAGTGTAAAATAGAATGTTTAATTTGCCAACTTACAGATTATTCAGAGTTGGAGATACGTTGACGTATCATCCATGCATAGTTTGTTTTATTGTTTGTATAGAACTGTTTGATATGAATCGATTTGTTTGAAATGAATACTGCTCTACCTCATTTCATTGTTTTGCTCTTAAATAATTTTTGCATGAACAGATTTTTATGTTTTGGTTGTCTCAAATTTCTCAATGCTAACGCATCAACGTGGCAATACTTTGTTTACATGGTGGTATGTTGGAACGCCAGCGTTATCGACCGCACACACAGACAAAACCCGTATCAAAGTAAATGGTTGGTACCGTTGTCGTAGCGTACTTTGGACTTTGACCGAGTTTCTGTTCTTTTTTTTTACTCAGAAAGCACAGCATTAAAGGTTTATTTGAAGGGAAGTAAAATGCGGATACATTCAACGAATTTTCACTTTTTGGCTCTAAGAAATATGTAAAGCCATTGACATACCAGAACTACCAGAACTATGAAAGCGGACTCCACCTAGAAGACGCGAATTGTTTTGTGCTTTTTATGCTATGTGAGCTTTCGAGTCTTACTGGATGTTTCGCTATTGTCTCTTGTATTTTCTGAATTAATGAAGATAATGAGAAAATTTCTTGAATGGATGATGTAGCTTGGCTTGAAGTTGAACCCGCAAAGTGATCACCTTTGCCAGTGTTGGTGGACTAAAGAAAAATTACGAGTTGCTATTTGTTTGATTTTATTCTGCGTCAGAATCAGAAGAAAATGTGAATTTTTTAAATTAAGTTAAAGAGGGGAATGATTTATATTTCTGCTAGAAAGAGGCGGTGTAAGCGTACTACGAGAAACTGCTTTCTTTTTCTAAATTTGAGTGAAGGCGGTTCTAGCGCAATAATGATTACGAGATGAGTTATGACGGTGTTTAAACTACTTGTATTGACTTACTCAGACGTTACTGAAGGCTGTGTAGGATGTGCATCCAGGGACGAAGGCCCAAGCAGATCGTTTAACCATCTAAAAACCTTCAAAACATATATTGTGGCAAGACTTAATTTTGAAATATCTTCCTGACATCAAGTCAATAATAACATTAATCTGCGCAATAAAAGGACCATGGAAAATGAATTTGATATA